GTACCCTTAAGACAATTTCAAAAATCATTCTCTGCCTGCCTGTGGTTGCTTTAACCCAGCTTCTACCGAGTTTCAGCTCTATGATTCAGCACAGAGAGAGATTCATACAAGTTTAACCTAGCTTAGCACAAAGACTTGAAGCACAGGGAAACTGCTTGTCCCATCAAAAAAGAAAAACAATACCCCATTCCCTCTGAAAGGTAGTGAAGAGAAGTACAACTTGATATGAAAATAAACCTGAAGTGAAGTTCAAGTCTCTGCAAGTAGGGTTTTTTGAAGAAATGATCGGAAACAAGTAGCTGTCTAAAAGAAAGGAAGTCAATCTAAAAACTGATTGACTACTGGGATTTGAAGTAAAAGGACAAAGGCGTGTGAAGTTGACGGTCTGGTCCTTTATCTGACCTCTCTTCAGCTTGCGGACGGCCACCATGCGGTGATTAGCTGACGTCTCCCACAGGCGCAGGGTTCTGTCGTCGCTGACGGTGGCACACACGTGGAGGAGGGGGTGAGCGGCCAGACCCCAAACCTCGCCCTCCATGTGACCCTGCAAACACACACACACACACACACAAACGTTAATAACCAGGAAGATTCAAATCTCTGTAAACAGCTCCCTGTTTCTCGTCCAGTTGTCAAAATCCAGATAAACGAAGAGAGCAGCTGATTAAAAATATTAATATGATCACCTGAGTCGCCCTAAATTATTACCAAGCGCTCACAGCAGTAAGTACGGCTATAATAACCGTGTAGTAATATAAAAAAGCAGCAGAGTGCCCTGGGTTTTGTCTCTCAGACTACTTACGCTTGTGGTATGTTGCAGCACCTGCAGACAGTGCTCAGGGGGGAAAAAGGTACATTTTAAAATGTACAGATCTTTCTACTTGCTAGATGTGAGCATCGATGATAGATACAGTAAGGTAGTAAAGCTCAGTGCTGTTTGTAGTTTAATAAACTATATTTATTAGCTATATTAGTCTTTCTTTAAGGAACCTAAACAAAACTTCTTATCACCTCTTCTTTTTCCTTCCTCGTCTTTTCCTATACTGTAATACCAATATTAGCAAAAGCACAATGAATTTCATCCTAATTTCCAAATCCAATCCTAACTTCTTTGTGCCCACACACACACACACACACACACACACACACACACACACACCTCTGAAACCAAACCTTCAGAATAACACATTGATAAAACACACACACATACAAAATGGTCTTAATCTTTACCAAAATGTGTGAAGACTGTTGATCTGTTCTGTGTGTGTGTGTGTGTGTGTGTGTGTGTGTGTGTGTGCACGCTGATCGATCTGCTGCAGTCGGCTCTCCTCACCATGGCAACAGGTGTCGTACCAGACACACACACACACACACACACACGCACACGTGAGCCTGAAACATTATTATCGAATGTATAAATGTGATAAAGACGTGAATGTATTTATTCAAACAGCAGTTAAAAAAGTCTCACCATAAGGTCCATTTAGTTGCTGTTCGGGAGATTTCAACCATATGATATCACATGACGTTCCTCAGCAGTTGTCATTGAAATGTAGATGTGCAATTTGTCAGATCCTCTAAACACTTTAAGTACTTCTCGTTCGTGTTCGATCCAGAACGCTACTAATGGACATGGGATCCATTATGGTCTGGTTGTGGTTGAGGTGCGAGTCTACAGGCACCTCACGATCTCGATGCAACAACATTTTTGATTTCAATACATAAAACTGATGAATTTGCTTCCATTCTGTTTTAGCTTAGTTTGTATTAGGGGTATGAATGCAGAATGAAAATATTCAGTATTTATTTAGCAAAATTTAAACATTCAGACACCTGAGAGTCCATTTAGTCTCTATGGATGTCCAAAAGGAGAAAGTTTGGTTGTGTTTAGATGTTTGAACTCGACTTCGAACATACCTGCACCAGCAGGGTCATGGGTCCGGTCTTGTCGATCTCCAGAACTTCTCCGTTTTTGGTTCCAACCAGGATGTGACCGTGACCCAGAGTGATGGCCCTGATGGACGGGTTGTCCTCCAGGAGCAGGCCTGCACACACACGCACACACATTTACAAAGTCTTTCATGTAGTTTATCCATTTTAGTTATCTTTCCCAAACAGCTATTTATGGTTTTACAGACAGAGGTGTGTGTCACCATGTGTCCAGCTGATGGCAGTGTTGGATAGAAGAGTTTCTACTGTATGTGACAAAGTGACAAAACGCACTTACGACTATGTTCACCCTAATTTATAAATTTATATTTTATAAAATAGAAATATATACAATGGCTATAGCTAGAAAGAGAAAAATCCAGAGTGTCACTGGCCTATTTACAAAATACAATAATTTTCTACTTTTACTTACTTTTCAAATGGAGATTTAACCTTATTTTAGTCATTGGGTGCACATAAATAAAATGCTAAAATTATAAAACAGAAGTTTACCCAAGTGCTCACACAGTTACAAAATAATGAATGAATGACAGAGAGAGACTGTGGCATCCACCAACCAAGGTGTAGGCTTAGCTTATCATGCCTTACTTTCCAACAATACAAAATCAACAACAAGCATTTTTGGAAAGAGAGGACTTATAGTCACTATTTCAAAGGGATGTTTGAGGTTTGGTTTTAGCCTGAGGTGAGGCTGAGGAAGAGGCTACGGTGAGGCTGAGGTTAAGCTGAGGTTAAGCTGAGGAAGAAGCTACGGTAAGGCCGAGGTAAGGCCGAGGTTAAGCTGAGGTTAGGCTGAGGAAGAAGCTAAAGTAAGGCCGAGGTTAGGCTGAGGTTAGGCTGAGGTAAGGCTGAGGTAAGGCTGAGGTAAGGCTGAGGAAGAGGCTACGGTGAGGCTGAGGTTAAGCTGAGGTTAGGCTGAGGAAGAAGCTAAAGTAAGGCTGAGGTAGGCTGAGGTTAAGCTGAGGTTAGGCTGAGGAAGAAGCTAAAGTAAGGCTGAGGTTAGGCTGAGGAAGAAGCTACGGTAAGGCCGAGGTTAGGCTGAGGTAAGGCTGAGGTAAGGCTGAGGTAAGGCTGAGGTAAGGCTGAGGTTAAGCTGAGGTAAGGCTGAGGTAAGGCTGAGGTTAAGCTGAGGTTAGGCTGAGGAAGAAGCTAAGGTAAGGCCGAGGTTAGGCTGAGGTTAGGCAGAGGTAAGGCTGAGGTTAGGCTGAGGTAAGGCCGAGGTTAGGCCGAGGTTAGGCCGAGGTAAGGCCGAGGTTAGGCCGAGGTAAGGCCGAGGTAAGGCCGAGGTTAGGCTGAGGTTAGGCTGAGGTTAGGCCGAGGTTAGGCCGAGGTTAGGCCGAGGTAAGGCTGAGGTTAGGCTGAGGTTAGGCCGAGGTAAGGCCGAGGTTAGGCTGAGGTAAGGCCGAGGTTAGGCTGAGGTTAGGCAGAGGTAAGGCTGAGGTTAGGCCGAGGTTAGGCCGAGGTAAGGCCGAGGTTAGGCTGAGGTTAGGCTGAGGTTAAGCTGAGCTGAGGCCGAACGGAGGTTGAGGTGAGGCATGTGGTGGTGATAGTTGTGCGTACCTTTGGAGCCCGGGGACAGTGCTGCTCTCTTGATGGCGTAAGTCTTCAGGCAGCGGTCAAACATGTCGTCCCATAGCTCCACCACGCCGTCCTTCCCGCCCGTCACAAAGCCCTGAAAAGAAATTATTTTATTGATTGATTTCACTGAGTTATTGATACTTTAAGATAAATCAGTAAGTAGCAAGTACAAATCTTCGCTCTGCTAAAACCAAGCGGAAATATGTCAACTTTATTGGCGTTTGATCTTCCTCTCCGCCTCTTTCTTCACTCAAGAGTCTGTCACCCGCCTTCTCCCTCCCTCCTTCCCTCTGTCACAGCTGTCATCCTCCACTGACAGGTTTCTGCTGTCACGTCTTCCCGCTCAGCCTGAGATCTTCAGATCTGCATGATGTTTTATCTGAAGACTCTCACAGAGTTGGTGTTGTATTGGAAAGAGTCTATTTTTATTTTATTTTAACTCCAGAGTCATAAAGATTCACTGACACCCTGAACAGTGATCATACTAAAGATATTGTATCACAAAATACAATTTCTTATAAAATGGACAGTGTATTGTTTACAAGACTGAATATTCACAGAGCCCGAGGTGAGGCTGAGGAGGAAGCTAAGGTGAGACTGAGGTTTGGCTGAGGTTAGGCTCGGATCCAGGCACCATGCACATACAGATGCAGTGTTCATGGAAGCAGAAAGGAGGACCAGTTTTTAAGGAGTTTTTGGTTAATTGCAGACTCTCCTGTTGGCTCGTCTGTCTTTAAATCCCGTTACATAATGAGAGAGAGAAAGAGAGAGAGAGAGGGGAAACAGATGGAAGGAGAAACGCTGAACATGTAAATATACTACAAGTCCGCTCACTCCTGCATTTACATTTTGGGCATTTAGCCAATGTTCTTGTTCGAAATGACACTGAGTGTAAGTGTAGAGTAGGTTTACACACACACACACACACACTGGGCTGACAGAATGTAAAGGCATCATTAGTAGGAGGAGGATCGTCTGGAGAACCAGTCACACTGTTTAATCAAAAACCTGCTCCTTGTGAACACTGCAGCCACACACACACGTTATGTTAAAAGAATATATAGTGTTAGCTGATATTAGAATGATATTCATTCACTTTACGTTGTTGAAGTGATGGAGGGTGGGGTGTCGTGGTTCGTTGCTCTTGATGTATCAGTTAGTCTTCACTCCAAACCTCAACAACAATGTTCATGAACTTTGGGTAACGACGGAAGGAATAAGATAACTACTAAAGCGTGGGAAAAAAAGATAAACATGACAGTTGTACAGAAATCCAGTGATTGAAAGAAACTAAGTACATTTATTGTATTGTTGTATGAAATTGTACTTTTGAGGTACTTTACTTGAGTATTTCCATTATCTGCTAGGGGTGGGAATCACCAGAGGCCCCACGATACAATATTATCACGATATTTATGTTATATTTAAAATCGCAACAAAGGATTTTAAATATATTGAGATATATTGCAATTTATTACCTTTTTCCAACTTCCAATTAGGTCTCTAAAGTCAAACTTTGTCTATATCTGTTTATCTAAAAAGATACATTTCTCTGTTTTTTCAGTCCTCTATATGGTCCTGTTAAGTTTTCTAGTGGACTAAAAAAGAAATAGATTTTATTATTCTAGTACCAAAAAGTAAAAGTTTATTTATATACTAAAATATCGATACTTGGCGTCCGTGTATCGATACATTATTGCCATGGCAAATATCACGATACTATGCTGTATCGATTTTTTCCCCCACCCCTATTATCTGCTACTTTATATTTCTACCCAGCTACATCTCAGAGAGAAATATTTTACTTTTTACTCTACTAAATTTATTTGCAGATTCTGATTATTATTAATTAAGGAATTATTCAACAAATAAATTATGATATGTTACAGATTAAGTAGTTGATTCATACATTAATGTATCACACTAAAGTCCTTTTCTATCTCTGTTGTTGTCTTTGCTTTGAGCCAAATCACCTTAAATGGGTTCAAAGAGTAGCTTTCCACCACTTCACGAGTGCAACAACCAGCTTAAAGAATATAATGCAAGAAAATTATCCAAACTTCTTAAATTATATTATGTAGAAGCATCTCTCTCTCACACACCTGCCCTCCTCACCTTGTCGAGGGAGAACATGGCGAACACCGGTCCATCGTGAGCTTTGACTGTTTTCATCAGCAGTGGTTCCTTCCAGATGTAAACGTCTCCCGTGGCGGCGCCGGTGAATGCCAGCGCATCGCTGCGGCCGTAACACACTGACATCATGGTCTCCGGCCGGCCTACGCACCTGAACACACCGCGCTTGTAAGTCAGGCCGCCACCTGGAGGACAAACAAAGAAGTACAAGATCAGACAGAACTTTATGGACAACTTTCACCACTGCCCGAGAACAAGATGCCAGATGCTGTTTAGTTGAGAAAATACGCCCATTCAGGACCTTCCTGGGGTTTCACTGGCCTAAATCTGGGGTTTTCAAAGGCTCACACTTTGGGGGTGTTGGCCTACAACTTGAGCCCTGTTTCATCAGCCTATGTTTACATATTGGCAAATTGCACCACTAAAAGTAGCTGAATTAGCTATTATAGTAATTTTTACCCATTAAAATATGTTAACGGACAAAAATGTCCATACTAAGGCATAAGGTTAAGTTCCTGTTTGCGTTGTACTCATGGATGTACGGACAACTATTACTGGATTGATTACTTTGATACTGAAGAAAACTTTAATTCCCTCCTCACCTACTCATTAACCAACTCTCCTCTCTCACAGCTTGAAAACCTCTGGCATAATGGTCACAAAATCTCACAAATGTTACACCCAGGAGTCTACATTAGATTAATTTAAAAATGTAATTGTCTCTTTTGGGACACTGGCAGCAGCAAAAGGTCAGCAAAGGACAATAGAGTCTAAATGACTTTTTGGTGAGCATATTAACACAAATGTCAACAACAGAAAAAAAAGTGGCAAATTACACGAGGAAAAGGGCAAAACACCTCTAAATCTCCTGAAAGAAATGCTAAACAGCTAATGTTATTGGCTGCACCCGCTTTAAATCTCTTTTTAAAGAACTTCCTGTGAGGTTAATGGCCCTTTGTCTGACCCCATCCTCAGGCAAACCGTCACATTCAAGAGTCCAGATTCTCTATGTACAAGCATACAAAAACTACTGTGCTAGAGTAACAAGAGTGACTGTGATTATGTACCATCTAACCCTGCAGCACGTGTGTTTCTATGTTAGGTTAAAGCCAGAGTCAAACATCCTTTCTGAGGTTTTACCTGCATGCTGCCAAAACTGGATGTGTTTAATTCCCACAGTGACCAGTTTGTCCATCAGCATGGGATTACACTTCACCACAAATATCTTCTCCTTATGACCTCTGTAGAGAAAGAGACGTAATTATGAAAAGTAGGAATGGGTATAAATGCTTAAAAGTCGATACATACTCTGGTGTCCATTGTACCCAAAATATACTGTATCATACTTTAAAGTAGTAGTACTTTACCGCGCAGAACATGGGAGTTGATGGTTAGTTTGTTTGTGTTATTGTGTGACTTTGTTGTTTTAGGGGTCACACAACAACACAAACTAACCAATTGAGGCAGCGGTAGACCAGAGAGGTAAAATTACTGTTTTTGTCAAGGGAGTCTGGTGGCTTTAACGAGAGCAATATAGTGTCTGTTTCTGGTTAAACAAAAAGGATGATACTCTTTAAAAAAAAAAGGTCTATCTCTGTAGGGATCCTTTCGTCAAACACTTATAAGAACAACCTGAGCCTGTCAGTGACAAAAACAAGTACTTTAGTGGACGTACTTTGACGGGGCACAATTGCTTGCGAGGATTATGTCGCAGCCCTGTTTCGCTCAATACTGGACCAGTTTCAAAAAATGTTTTCCAAATGAATCACATAGACACAAAAATATGGGGAAGAATAGGGACCAGGTTGAAAAATAAAAAAGTAACCCTTTAAAAGCAGCAGCAGTAACATAGTACATGAGTAGCACATTAGTAGAAGCAGCCAAAGCAGCCAGAAATTACTTGTACCAGTAATAAAACAAGCAGTGGCAGCGATCTGTTGTTGTTGCAAGTGTAACAGCACTGGTAGCTGTACTTCTACTACTACGACAAGCAGTGATAAGCAGTAAACATATGAGCTTGTACTATGTACTAGTTGTAGTAGCACTTGTGTGGAAGCAGTAGTAATTACAGTATAAGTAGGAGTAAAAGTACTAATAATAGTAGTAGTTGTGGTTGTAGTGAAACCTATTTGGAAGAAATTGTATTTACAATAAGAGCAGTAATAAAAGTACTAAGTATAATTGTAGTTTGTTACAGTGTACTGACCTTGTAGTAGTTTAGAGTAGTAAGTAATTTTTTATTTTTTTACCACACCTGGCAGTAGCGAGTTTCTCTCCTCTCTTCCAGTCCCAGACTACAATTGAATGTCCGTCATCGACTCCCACTGACACCAGACTCTTTCCATCAGCTGCATCAGGACCACAGAGAGAAAATACATCAGGAGCAGGGTTTCCCCTTTTTCATAGCCCAGAGGGGAAAACTCGAACTGGACGATGACGAGTGGTTAGCTCTGTGTTACTGCTGAGTTTAACGTGTTACACACTTGAACACAACAAGGGAAACACATCACAACAAACCTAGATGGACAAGATTTGAACCCTGATCAGAACAATTTACTGTTCCTTCAACATCTGATAATGCTGTGTGTGTGTTTGTGTTACTTTCTAACTAAATGCAATCTTACTCTTTCTGCTGAGAATAGTAGGAAACTACCTGGTTGCATAAGAAATAACCAAACTAAAAGGTAACACACAGTGACAGTCTACAGCCATGCTAACGGCTCTGTGAGGCTGTGCTTGCCTGCAGCCTGTTAGCACTGATGACAGCTGAGGATGACAGGTACACCATAAGGTTTGCAGGTATTTGGTCATAAACCAAAGTATTGGACAAATTAAAGTTTAGACATGATGATGGTCCAAAGGTTATACAAGTCATCCTGAGGGGGGACATTATTCAACAGTTACAGCGAGATATCAGCCTGAATCAAAGTGACATATTAAAATCAAGACTGAACATGTAAACACACCTGAGAAATCCAGAGCACACACTCCTCTCTGGTGGAATCCTTTCAGCAAAGACAGACACTTCAGGTCTGGATGTCCCACACGTGGATGGCTGGGTCCCTCCCCACCTGCACACACACACATTAGATGCTTATTTAAATATATTTCTGATCACGTAAGTCTACCAAATAATTAAACCTGCGCCTAAAAATCTTGGTGTAACGTTTGATCCCAGCTTAAATTTCAAATATCCAGTTAAGCCTGTTTTTATCAACTTAGGAAGATTGCAAAGATTCAACCAATTCTCTGTTGCTTTTTTTTACCTGCCTCAATAAAAAAGCCTTAGACAGCGTCTGTGTGTGTGTGTGTGTGTGCACGGTGTGTGTGGTGTGTGTGTGCACCTGTCCTGAAGCAGCATAGTCCTTCAGGGTGGATGCTGAGGCTCAGGATGCGTCGTCGTGGCCGAGGTAGAAGCGCTGGCTGTGCAGCTGCCGGTTGTAGATCACGCACACCGCCGCCACGTGGTACAACACCTCCCCCCCTGAGTGTAGAACAGGTTGTTCCTGCAGTCGTACCCACGGTACCTGCACGCACACACACACACACACAGACAACTGGGTCTGCCAAACTGGTCCATTTAAAACCCGTTGCCTGGCTCAAACTGGGCAGTTTATCATCTCTCTGATGTTTGTTCGTCTGAACATAAAAAACATGGTAATTTATAAACTACAGTCAAAGTACTGCTCGCAATGACGAGTACAAAGATCTGGACCTCGCACAATGCATGCTTAGCCATTGTCATGCCTGTAAGAATAACGCATCACCATCTGCAGTGGTTATCAGGGTCGTCAGTGTTTACAACGCTTGAGAAAGAAAGTCTGCATATCTCAGCACGTTCAGCATCTTTTCTCAACTTACGCTGTGTGAAGCTTTCGTTTTGAGGTTTTACAACATTAAAGGACATAATTTCTGTCTTTATTGGACCCTGAGCATTAAACAAAACCATGTTACTGAGACACTATTATTACTGTACTTCATAATAAAAGACAACTATAATAAGACTTTCTCAAATCACGTTTTATTTGCAGATTTAAGGAGATTTCAGAGATCAGGTGGTAGCCCAGTCTTTCGAAACATAAGAAGAGTGTAACACTTTAAGGCACAATACATTTACTTCATATATAAAAAAGGTTGCTGCAGTATTATTACCAAAAACAGGATTAGAACCTGCTGTCACTCTTAAACTGGGCACTCAGAGGCTCTAATATTGTTTTAAAAACCTGAAATAGTCTGTAAAACTATTTTATT